TGCATCAGCTATCTCCAGAATCCACGAGTGTAGCCTTGTACCGAGTTACGATCGAGAGGGCCGCGCTGCATAGAGAAATTCTACAGCTGCAAGATGCGATTACCCGTCACCTCGAAATTGAAACCAAGCTAAAGCGCGAAACAGACCAGTTTAGACGCGAACTACATTCAAGTGTCCAAGGTAAAGGCGACCTCGAGTCAACTCGCTTTAGACGGCGAAGGGTGGTGGGTGCACTTCCCGAATGGGGAGCCGCCATTCTCCTTCCATCCGATTCCCGAGGAAGAGTACCTGGACAAGTTGAAACAGCGCGAGGTTGAATTTACCGAGCGCCACCTATTCACCTCTTTCATCGGTAGCATGTTTGGCTGGTCGGTGGATTACGTGCCGCCGTTTCAACAAGCGTCGGGCACTACGATAGCGCATGCACGATTCTCAAAACGCCTTCGTTGCTCACTTCCAGTAGCTTGCCAGACTTTAGAACGTCTCGACATCAGTCAGTGGCCAATAAATATTTCTCCTCGCAGTTGGGGGCTTGAGCAGCGCGGTGATTCCTACTGCCAACCACTTCAGAAGATTGTGAAGCAAGACGGTGTTGTGGTGTGCAACATTCCAGGCGACGTCGATCTTCGGTACATCGCTGCCGTGCAAAACAGGGTTTCAGTACTCCCAGATGGGAGACAGATGGCTAAGCACTGCATCATGATCGTGGACTCTGAAGCAAACGCACGCAGTCGAGAAGCGGCAGGATCGCAGAGTGACGTCAAGTGGGTTTTTCAAGGAGGAGAGAACTGCATATGGACAGAAGTGGATGAGAATACGGTAGATGTCGTGTATGATCAGTGGTCGGAGTGCCTGAGCGAGGCGCACGGGCGGGAACTTTATGTTGATTGGATTCGCTTCGTGCTTCGTATGGAGGAACACATTGCACCGACCCGTTTGCTTCAGAAATAGACAAAAAAGAGACGAGTAGACTCTTTCGGCGAGGTACCTTCAAAAAAATATACAATTTGGCATTTTCTTACTAGTTTCCCAGAGTGTCATTCATACAGATGTTCTCATATTCGTCCGGTAAGCCGACCAAGCCTAACGAAGCGTAGATTGAAGTAGTAGCCCAGCCAACGAACAAGAGCAGCGTCTAATGGGTTCTGCCAAATTGTCAAACACTTCATTCTACATTTCTCCTCTCTGTACCGGTACAGCCAGAATCCTTCCCCAAGGACCGAAGGTCAGGCGGAACATCTCCGCCTTATTAAACCCTTGCTCAATTCAACGTATACACTTTCGTAAAATACCATTCTAAACGAATTATATACATGTACAATAGCTTGAATTTCTGCTAGTCAGCATACATGATGACCCCGTTGATATACATGATGAGTCCATTGATAGTTATACAGCCACGGGAAAGACTTTCATAAATTAAATTAAACCTACCAAAACTTGAAAAGAAAACAGCGCCCAATTCGAAAAAAAAAGCTGTATACGCATTCCGAGTGGAGGTCGCAGACGACCTAGCTGTCAATTCCGGTTTTATTTAGGAACGTGAAGTACAGGAATGGTTCATTCAGTCGCCAACTCACATCAACAGCGTTTATTATAGAAAACGTACCCATATGATCTTGGCATGAGCTGACAGGAAGTCGAAAACACCATTATAATATCGCCTAAGATATTCTATATGATTGATTCGCCCTCGACTCGATCATCCAAATTTAAAGTAGAACCCACAACATTGTGTTGCGTCTGCTAATCGAATGACATACTTCCTTTCAAGCCCCAGTCCGGGCCCCCGATTTGCTAACAAGCCCGCTATCTTCGAGAGCCCGGCTCCACTAAATAAAAGCGGCTCAGTACTCAAATAGAGCTTGTTGATTGGCTACTCTAAGTGATCCGGGCTCCCAACATTAATATAGAGCCCACGAAATACCGATGTTGGGCTCGGCTCGTCTCGTATGCTAAGCGAATTCCGGCTTCAGTCTCTGGTGTCATTCTTGTCATTCTTGGCGCTCAGTGAATTCATGAATTAAATGTTACTCGATGGTAATCAAATGAAGAGGTCATCCGTTTCTTACGCTTTTTGTATGAGCCCTCCTATTGTTGCTAGAAGTTAAACGTGAGAAAATGTAGGGTTTGCTTCAGGAAATAATGCTTGCTATTTTTTCTTACCTACTTTGCGATACCGGTACGATGAAACATGCGTATACGCATCCTCTAGCGTTTATTACTCACCGACGACTTCTCTCTCCCAAAACACTGACATTCATTCATGTAATAAACAAAAAATGATAACGAAATGTTGGCCTCCATTCCTCTTCTCTCCCGTGTGTTACAGAGCGTGGACGACATAACGCATCCTGGCATGACTGCAGCGGACATCACGGACTTACCATTCGAGTCAAGTCAGACAGTCCATGACATCCCAATTTGCGTTATTGCACTTGTAGTGACCTGTTATTAACGTCAATGTCTTTTACTTGTCATTCGTCAAGTTATACGCCACTGTTCATCAAACTGCTCAACCACTCTGCAAACTTGAACCATGAAGTACTCAGACCATGCCAACCTAATCGAGACGGCCTTGGAGGCTTTAAAAAGTCAACAGTTGCGCCTCAAAGTGCAGCGCCGACGTATGGTGCGCTGGCGCCACCGACGAAAGGAAACGCTGGCTACCATCCGTGACGAGATACAGCGTCTGGAAAATGTCTTGGAGCAGCTCCTTTATAAGGCACAAACGACACTGCATCAGCTATCTCCAGAATCCACGAGTGTAGCCTTGTACCGAGTTACGATCGAGAGGGCGGCGCTGCATAGAGAAATTCTACAGCTGCAAGATGCGATTACCCGTCACCTCGAAATTGAAACCAAGCTAAAGCGCGAAACAGACCAGTTTAGACGCGAACTACATTAAGTGTCCAAGGTAAAGGCGACCTCGTGTCAACTCGCTTTAGACGGCGAAGGGTGGTGGGTGCACTTCCCGAATGGGGAGCCGCCATTCTCCTTCCATCCGATTCCCGAGGAAGAGTACCTGGACAAGTTGAAACAGCGCGAGGTTGAATTTACCGAGCGCCACCTATTCACCTCTTTCATCGGTAGCATGTTTGGCTGGTCGGTGGATTACGTGCCGCCGTTTCAACAAGCGTCGGGCACTACGATAGCGCATGCACGATTCTCAAAACGCCTTCGTTGCTCGCTTCCAGAAGCTTGCCAGACTTTAGAACGTCTCGACATCAGTCAGTGGCCAATAATGTTTCTCCTCGCAGTTGGGGGCTTGAGCAGTGCGGTGATTCCTACTGCCAACCACTTCAGAAGATTGTGAAGCAAGACGGTGTTGTGGTGTGCAACATTCCAGGCGACGTCTATCTTCGGTACATCGCTGCCGTGCAAAACAGGGTGTCAGTACTCCCAGATGGGAGACAGATGGCTAAGCACTGCATCATGATCGTGGACTCTGAAGCAAACGCACGCAGTCGAGAAGCGGCAGGATCGCAGAGTGACGTCAAGTGGGTTTTTCAAGGAGGAGAGAACTGCATATGGACAGAAGTGGATGAGAATACGGTAGATGTCGTGTATGATCAGTGGTCGGAGTGCCTGAGCGAGGCGCACGGGCGGGAACTTTATGTTGATTGGATTCGCTTCGTGCTTCGTATGGAGGAACACATTGCACCGACCCGTTTGCTTCAGAAATAGACAAAAAAGAGACGAGTAGACTCTTTCGGCGAGGTACCTTCAGAAAAATATACAATTTGGCATTTTCTTACTAGTTTCCCAGAGTGTCATTCATACAGATGTTCTCATATTCGTCCGGTAAGCCGACCAAGCCTAACGAAGCGTAGATTGAAGTAGTAGCCCAGCCAACGAACAAGAGCAGCGTCTAATGGGCTCTGCCAAATTGTCAAACACTTCATTCTACATTTCTCCTCTCTGTACCGGTACAGCCAGAATCCTTCCCCAAGGCCGAAGGTCAGGCGGAACATCTCCGCCTTATTAAACCCTTGCTCAATTCAACGTATACACTTCGTAAAATACCATTTTAAATAACACTCTATCGAATTCTATACATGTAAAATACCTTCCGTTGAATGAGTCCTTTGATAATTATACAGACACGAAAAAACTTTTCATAAGTTAAATTTTACCTATCAAAACTGGAAAAGAAAACAGCGCCGATTCGAAGATAAAAGTGTATGTCGCAGACGACCTAGTTGTCAATTCCGGTTATATTTAGGAGCGTGAAGTACAGGAATGGTGCCAGTTCACATCAACAGCGTTTATTACTGGTTAATATAGAAAGCGCTTCCATTTGATGTTGGCATGAACAGACAGGGAGTTGAAAACACCATCATAATGCCTAAAATATGCTATCTGATTGATTCGCGCTCAACTCGAAAATCCAGTAGAACCCACAATATTATGCTGCGTCTTTTAATCGAATGACATACTTCCGGGCCCCCGATTTGTTAACAAGCCCGCTATCTTCGAGAGCCCGGCTCCACTAAAATAAAAGCGGCTCAGTACTCAAATAGAGCTTGTTGATTGGCTACTCCAACTGATCCGGGCTCCCAACATTAATATAGAGCTCACGAAATACCGATGTTGGGCTCGGCTCGTCTCGTATGCTAAGCAAGCTCCGGCTTCAGTCTCTGGTGTCATTCTTGGCGCTCAGTGAATTCATGAATTAAATGTTACTCGATGGTAATCAAATGAAGAGGTCATCCGTTTCTTACGCTTTTTGTATGAGCCCTCCTATTGTTGCTAGAAGTTAAACGTGAGAAAATGTAGGGTTTGCTTCAGTAAATGATGCTTGCTTTTCTTTCTTACGTACTTTGCGATACCGGTACGATGAAACATGCGTATACGCATCCTCTAGCGTTTATTACTCACCGACGACTCCTCTCTCCCAAAACACTGACATTCATTCATGTAATAAGCAAAAAATGATAACGAAATGTTGGCCTCCATTCCTCTTCTCTCCCGTGTGTTACAGAACGTGGACGACATAACGCATCCTGGCATGACTGCAGTCGACATCACGGACTTACCATTCGAGTCAAGTGAGACAGTCCATGACATCCCAATTTGCGTTATTGCACTTGTAGTGACCTATTATTAACGTCAATGTCTTGTTTACTGTCAT